CTGACTTTTTGTGACCCCATTTGGGTTTCTTGCCCAAGATACTGGAGTGGTTTGCCATTTCCTTATCCAGCTCATTTTACAGATGAGAAAACTGAGGTAAACAGGGTTGAGTGACTTGCCCAGGGTCACACAGCTAGTAAGTGTCTGAGGCTAGATTTGAACTCAGAATGATGAGTCTTCCTGACTCGAGGCCCAGCACTCTATTAACTGCACCACCTAGTTGACCACTCAAAATCACGTAGATACAGGGTTTGCCCTGGTTACTTCTGTTATGGGCAACAAAATGGAGATTCACAATGAATACCAAGAGAACAAGACAAGCATGCTACTTTAAAGTCAAGAAAGAGTGGGAGAAATAGTGGCCTTGTATCTTGATTTCTACAGACAGGATTTTTTTTTCAGACCATGTTTTCATTGGTATAGGGAATTTCCAACAAGGAAACACTCTCTACCAATGCAAAACTGAACCTGATCTACAGCTTCTAGTCTTTAGAGAGTCACCAGAGTAACCAAAAAGTAAAGTGACTTGACCAGAGTCCTCCAGTTCAGTAATGTCAGAGATGGGACTTAAACTGGCCTTTCTAATACTAAAGACCAACTACCCTTTATTGCACATCAGAGATCTAAAGACACAATATGGGCCTGGTTTCTCCTCTTTAAGAAAAACAGAGACTTGAAGAAAGAATTTTATCCTATTAATTTGATAAATTTTCCTAAAAGCAAAGAATACAAATGCAGCTAATTTAAGATAGCCTCAGACATAATATCAAAGTGGGGGATTGGAGGTTTGGAGAAAAGGGTGTAAATCGAATGGGAAATCATGCCTACAGTCTACAAATATTTGATGAATTGACATGTGAAAAAGGAATTATATTCATTCTATATAGCTCCAGAGGGCAGAAATCAAACCACTAAATAGAAATAATGAGGCATATTTGGGCTCAATTTAAGGAAGAGCTTCCTTATAATTAGTGCAGTTTCACAAGGGAATGGGATGCCTCATGGGCATGTGAGTTTTCTCATACCAATCATGAATTATTTAGGATCATAAATCTAGATCTGGAAAGGACTTTAGACATCATATAACCCAACTACCTCAAGCAAAACCATGTAACCATTTAAAGGGAATGTTGTATAAGACTTGAGTAACAGTTAGACAAGATGCCCACCGAGGTAGTCTTTAATCTAAATAAATATTCATTAAGTACAAAATATATAAAAATATATATACAATTTTATACACAAAATAATGACAACAAAAGCAATTAATAATAATAATAATAATAATAATAATAATGTACTTTAAAGTTTGCAAAACACTTTACAAATATCTTATTTTATCCTCAACAATTCTGGGACATAGATGTTATTATTATCTCCATTTTACAGAGGAGAAAACTGACACAGAAAATAAGTGAGTTGCCCAAAAATTATATAGCTTTCATGTGTCTGAGGCCATATTTGAACTTGGGTCTTCCTGACTTCAGGTCCAGCTCTGTCCATTTCACTGTGCTGTCTAGCTACCTTAGGCAGTAGGGATTCAAATGCAATCAAAAATAATATCTGTTACTCGAGGAGTTTGAAAATATAAGACGTGCATATTTAAGCAAAAACAAGATATGAAAGAAGAGAACACAAATGATTGTGACAATAAGAATCACAGAGTTTCAAAACAGAAAGGGATCTCAGAAATTGAACTTCTACAACATTCTGACAAGTGGTCATTCAGCCTAGCTCTTGAAGTTGAAAAGATTCCCCATAGGAGGTGGCACCTTAGATAAGCATTGATGGAAGCTAGAGATGTTTCAAAGATGCATTAACAAAGTAGGAATCCATCGACAAGCATTTATTAAGTATTTACTATGTGCCAGGTACTACGCTTAGCACTGAGGATATATACAGAGACAAAAATAGTTCCAATCTTCCAGGAGCTCACATTCTAATGGTGGAGGAAACATGTGAATAATTAATAGTAATAATTATGCACATACCACATATATACAAAGTAGAAGGAGAGTAATCTCAGAGGAGATGGCATGAGGGCTGTAATAGCACTCCTGGAGAAGATGAGATTTGAGCTGAATCTTATAGGAAGTCAGGCAAACCAAGAGATGAAAAAGAGGAATAAGATTCCAGGTATGGGGTACTAGCCAGTACAAAGGCCCTGATATTAGGGTGTATCATGTGTGAAGAACAACAAATAGGCCAGTGCAGCTGGATCATTAAATGTGTGAGAGGACTGAAAAATAAGATAATTGTAAAGTTAGAGGCAGTTTAAGTTAAAAAGATCTTAAATTCCTGTTAAAGAAATTAATATTTTATCCCACAGGTAACAGCAGGCCACTGGAGTTTATTGGGTAGGGAGGCAGTATTGTCAGACCTACACTTTAGGAAAATCATCTTTGGCAGCACAGTGGAGAGTAGAAGAATGTGGAGGGAACTGAGGAAAGACAACTTCTGCAATAGTTTAGGTGAGAGGTGATGAAATCCTGGCTATATACATAGAGAGAGAGGGATATATACAAAATATTTTGTGAAAGTAGAAATGACAAGATTTGTCACTAGATTAGAAAAATCATGTGAGAATGAAGAATTAAGGTTAACACCATGGTTGTGAGCCTAGGTGACTGGAAGAGTGATGGTGCCATTGACAATAATAAGAAGGAATGGAAGAGGGGATGGTTTGGTGGAAAAGATAATGAGTTAGGTTTTGTATATGTTGAAATTTGGATTCCTGCAAGATCTCCAGTTCAGTATGGACAAAAGGCAGTTGTTGATATCAAATAGTAGCTCAGAAGAGAGAGTGGGGCTGGATATATAGATATGAGAATCATCTGCATAAAGATTTTAATTGATTCTATAGAAATTGATGAGATAGCTCTAAGTGAGATAGTAGAGAAAGAAATGAGAAGGCCCAGGTTAAATTACTGGGGGCACATCTAAGGGTAGTAGATGGAACACAGATAAAAAGTCAGCAAATGAGACTGAAGAAGTAGTCAGACAGGAATGGGAAGAACAGGGAAACAACAGCGCCAGAGAGAATACCCCGGAGAAGAATGCAATCACCAGTGCCAACTGCTGCAGAGAGATTGAAAGGATTGTGAAAAGACTATTAGATTGGTTAATTAAGACATCATTGGTAACTATGGAGAGAGCAATTTCACTTAAATGATGATGTTGAAAGGCACATTGCAGAGGAATTAGACAAGAATAAGGGGAGAGGAATCAGAGGCATCTAGCATAGATATCTTTCTCAAGGAGTTTATCTGAGAAGGAGAGGAGAGATATAAATTGATAGCTAGCAGAAAGATATTGTTGGCTTTTTTTTTCCTCTGATGGGTGAGACATGGGTGTGTTTGCATTCCAAGCATGAGGAACAACTTATGCAAAGGCATGGAGACATAGAATGGAATTTTGGGTTCCAGGAATAACCAGTCAATCAGTTTGGGGCCAACAGGGAATATAAAAAGGAATAATGTGAACTAAATCTGGAAAGGTTGGTTGGAGCCAGATTGCAGAAGAGTCTAACTGTCACACCAAGGAATTTGCACATTCTCTTGGGGACAAATCTTGGATTCTATGATTCACTCATAGAGTACATAATGTAGTCTGGTTACCACTTGAGGGCTCTAAATGGTAAGTTGATTCCATGGCGGTTCCATGTGTTTAACTGAACACTGTGATTCCATAGTGGAGGAAAATAAAACAATCCTATGCATGTAAACCTATGGAAAATTTTAGAATAACCCAAGCTCCAGTTTTGAGTCAGAAAACTAGCTTTTGTGTATCAACCTTTGGAAATGCATTCGGGGGACAATTTCTAACTCAGGTTATTCAGCTCCTTAATAGCCATGCTCACTCCAAAAAATAATTCTATCACCAGACAGACCCCAGATATTCAGCAACCCCTTCCTAGACCATCTGTCTTAACCAGGGACTCCACAACTCCCTTCCACTTATACTACAGCTATGAGTTGTGGACCAAAGACTCCCTGATTCCTTCCTTCCCCTCTTCAACTTTCAAGTAATTTATTTAATACTGAAGTAAAACATGGGGCACAGCTGACCTGGGAACTACTTCAAACATGGCCTAAGATTCCATTGATTATGGCCTTGAAGATTCATCTGCCCTGCTGCCAAATGCATCCTCACTTTGGTTCTCCTCCCCCCCAGTCCCCCGCCAACAAAAAGCCCTCTTTCAAATAAATATTATCATTGCTACTTCCCGATGGCTCCACTCAGAATCCCTGTGATTCTGAACTCTTGACTCCCTTCCCTGTCCAGTTCTCCTCCATTTATGTCAGCCCCATCCTCCTTGTATCTTGATCTCTCTCTACCCTAACCTTCTACTATGCCTTTCTGGATAGAATGAGTTTCTATTGCTATCAAACTGACTTTACGTAATGATAGATATTGATGATATTGATGATGATGATGATGATGATGATGATGATGATGATGATGGTGATACCAACACAGCATTTTAAGATTTGCAACAAATTTTACAATTATCTTATGTGATCCTTAAGCAACCCTGGGAAGTAGGTACCATTATTATCCCTATTTTACAGACAGAGGTGAAGTTACTCGTCCAGAGACACACAGCTAGTAAGTATCCAAGGTTAGATTCCAACTCAGATCTTTCTCACTTCTGGCCCGGTGCTCTATCCACTGTACCACCAACCACTTCTACAAAGCAGTTCCCAGGAATTCCCAGGAATAAATTTGTGTGTATGTCACATTTAATTTTCTACATCTATATTGCTTCCCTTCAATCAATCGTTGAGGGCACAGACAGCTTTATATTTGTTTGTGCATCCTGAGAAGCATGCACAATACCTAGAATATGCTGAGTGCTCAATACATTCTTATTGCTTTGTTGTCTTCAGTCTCATTAACAAAAACTTCTACTGAAGTCACTTCCTATGTTTTTTTACATTCACCAGGAAGTTAGTTTGGAGTTCCCAATTCTAAGTTTATCGAAGCAAATCAAACTTTACCTTGTGGTAACACCTAAAATATGCTGCCCGCTCATCTGAAAACTTCTCCAATCTTTTTGGACCTTTGCTTGAAGCTTTCTTGAACACTAGCCAGCATCTTTGATAAATCTGCAAATAAAGACAAAAGTGAGTTTTACATCTCTACTAACACCATTACTGGCATTGGCACTTAATTGTTTTCTGTGTTAAGTTTTTATCTCTAATTGTTCACATAGACATGAATGGAATACAGTAGCCCACACACTAAAAAAAAAAAATTAAAGGGAGTTTTGGAGGCAGAATTCTCCAATTCCATCATGTTTTAATAAGAAAACCGTCGGCCTAGTTTTTAAAAGGAAGCTTGAGGGAAAATAGAAGAAAGGAAATAATTAGAAATAGTCTAGAATGAGTCATAAATCCCCCTATTATAAGCAACTTAATGTCACAAATACCAGATCATTAATATTAAATAATTTTATATTCTAGAGAATTGATACTATCAATTTATGTGTGTGTACACTCATGCATGCATGTGTAGACACACAGACACACACATACATACGCACATGGGGAGGAGGTGGTACTTTGGTATAGAAACTTCTTATATCAATGCATCAGCAACTCATCTGCAATTTATTTTCCTAGAGAATTGCCTATAATGTTGAAAGACAAGATGATCTGCCCATGATCACACATCTAGTATCTTTCAGAAGTAGGATTTGAACCTAATTCTTCTTGACTCCAAAGCACAAGAACTTTCAAATAAATAATAATAATATTCTATAAAAGTTTATAATTGCTAGTGTATTTTCCTTACAACTCCACTGGAAGGATCATTATTCCTATTTTAGATGTGATGAATAATTATTTTATTTATCTATTTAAAGTACACAGAAATCTTAACTTAGTTTAACTGGATTCTGTCTTGCTAAAGTATGATATCTGTACACAGGGCTATTTGAGAAATATGTTTCCAAACTTTAAAAGCATGGGTAGATTGAGATCTTTCTTGGAGGCAATATCCACCCACTTTAATGCACAGAAGTAGTAGAATACACGTGGGCAGCTAGGTGGCACAGTTGATAGAGTGCTAGCCTTGGTATTAGGAGGATGCAAGTTCAAATCTGGCCTTAGACATTGACTGGCTGTGTGACCCTGGGAAAGTCACTAACTCTATTTATCTCATTTCCTCATCTATAAAACAATCAGGAGAAGGATATAGCAAACCATTCTAACATCTTTGCCAAGAAAACCTCAAATGGGGTCACAAAGAGTTGAACATGACTGAAACAACTGAACAACAACAACAGCGCTGGAATATGCATATATGTGTATGTCAGTTAACATTGCTATTATGGGAATGCATGAAAGGTCAATGATATTTTTTAATATGGGAAACAACAAGTGTGAGATAACCTCCACCGATCGATATCATATGGTAACCTCTCTATGACTTAGCAGATAGGTCCCAGGAAGTTTCATGAGACATGAGAAGTTAATTGACTTGCCCAGGGACACAAAACTAATAAATTTCAAAGAAAGGACTTGAACCCAGCTCTCTCTTACTGAAAGTCTATCACAGGGTCAGCTAGGTGGTGGCACAGTGTATAAAGCTCTGGCCTTGGAGTCAGGAGGACCTGAGTTCAAATCTGGTCTCAGACACATAACATTTACTAACTTGGTGACCATGGGCAGGTCACTTAACACCAATTGCCTCACCAAAAAGCAAAAACAAACAAACAAACAAACAAAAAACAAAGTCTATCACACTATCCATGAGACATTCTTCACTGATGATGATGGTGGTAGTGGTGGTGGTGATGATGATGATAATGATGATGAAGGTGATGATGATCTCCACTTTATGTTATAATGGGAATGGAAGTGAAAGATGAAAGACATAAGAAGAAAGACAAAAAGAAAGGAATACATATGGAGTTTTACTCAATGATAATCATATGCCTATTCCCTAATAGACACATGGCATAGAGGAAGAAGTATTTGAAGTTAGAGGAAATGAGTTCAACTATTGATTCTGACTTACTAGCTATGTGACCTTGGGTGAATTCCTCTCCCTCTTTGGGCTTGAGTTTCATCATCTGTGAAATGAACTAGTTGGACTAGACTAAGGTCCCTTCTAGAGCTAAATCCTATGGTCCTGTGATTTCACATTTACTGCATGATAAACATTGGCTTCCATGGTCCTAGATTAGTACCAGAGCAGGAGAGGGCATAAACCAAAAATAACCAGCGAAGTAGAGTTCAAATCCTTTTCGAAGTCAGAAGCTACACGTGTAAATTACTATCAGTGCTAGTGTCTTCAAAAAAAGTTCACCTCTGGATGAAGAGATAATGATTCAATTGTTTTAAAATAAAAACTAAAACTAGAATCTCTATCTTTGATTTGTGCTATTCATAATCAATAGGAGGGTGTGGTAAGATCATCTCTGTCCTCTATGTCTCCAACTAATAAAAGCTTCCCCTTTGACATTCTTCCACATTCAAGAGAAGCACAGACTGATGCTGTCATCGTGACATACTATCCATCTGGGAATACTTATAGCAGTCTACCCAACAAGCAACACCAGACTGCCCAGAGATTGTTTTAGAACAGTATTGTGTGAAATACTATTCTGAGAATTTGCCAGCACATACTAAGCCAGTAATTTAATTCTAGCTGCTTACTTAGGGTAACCTTTCCAATGTCATGTGCTAACAAATCTTTTTTTTTCATCACAAGAAAACTGGAAGAAAAACAAGTCATGAGGAGATTCATGGACTATAAACAGTTTCTAAGTTCCATCTTAAGGAATCACCCAACACATCAATGACGATAATAAGATAATTAATCCATTGAATTTAGAGCTGAAAAGAGTCCTCAGGGATTACATACTTCCAACCCCTTATCTTAAAGAAAAGGAATACTGAGGCTCAGAAAGGGGAAAGCAACTTGGCCAAAGTCATAGAGGAAACAAATAATGGAATGGAGATTCTAACCCAGGTCTTTTGGATTCAAATTGAGTGCTCTCTCCATTACATTGTGGTACCTGCTCAGGAAAGAACACTTCTGGACAATGATGTCTGACATCTTTTATCATGGATAACAAATTTAAATACCAATAATACTACATTAGTTTTGATGGATAAAGCCACTGAAAACTGGGTTATACTGCAACATTGATGAAGTGAGGAAACTGTAGCACAAGTACTTTCAAAAGAAGAACAAGTAAAAAAGAAAAAAATGTTGCCAACCAAGATTTTATTTTTTTTAATCATTGAAGAAAACCTTAAAGACCATAAGATTTAGAATTGGACAAAATATTATAAGTAATTTTGTCCACCTACCTCCTTTTACAAATTTTTGAATGAGGCCCATAGAGCCAGAGATTTGCCTGAGAAAACACAATTAGTAAATATCAGATCTGAGACTAAAATCTAGGTCTACTTAAAAAGTCATTTCAAAACCAATTTCAAACAAAATATTCTCTGGTAAACTTTTGCATGTTAAGAAGGATCTTAACTACTTAGTATAATATAGTAGCATTTGCTTTATATTCAAATCAATGATAAGGTGAAGGTGACAGGAGACATGTCCAACAAATGACAAGGTGGTACAGGCAAGAGTTCAGGCTGTAGAATGAGAGTTTTGGAGCAAGTGGAGGTGGCAGTACAGTAGACAGCACACTGGTTACGAGCAAACATGATTCTGTCAAAAAACAAACACTAGATTTGAATTTAATGGAAAGATCCCTGGGTTTGGATTCCATAGAAAGGACACATTAGGATCAGTGGACCTGGGTTTGAATCCAGACTCTCCCACTTACTATATGACTTCAGGCAATTCATTTAACCCTTCATGGCTTTAGTTTTTTTTCTTTCCTAATTGATAAAATAATGGCATTAATCTCTTAAGATATTTAAAATCTTTTCCAGTTCTAAATCTATCATCCTGTGAAGACAGAAAACATGGAACTGAATCTGGATTCTGTGACAGTAACCTTGAGCAAGTCTCTTCCCTTCTCTGAGACTATTTCCTTATCTGTAAAATGGAAGGGAGGAGGTGACCAAACAGTCTCTGAATTACCTGTTAGCTCTAAAGCCAATGATCTCTGAGGTTCTAAATTGCCAGTTTATGAGATACTGTATTGGCTCTCTTACTATTTATTCTAGTGTAAGAAAACTGCCTTGAGACTGAGCATTTAAAATGTCTGGAGTTCTGAGACTTCATGAATATTTGCAAAGTTTTGATAGAGCACTAGATGAAAGAAGTAACGAATCTTCAATGACCAAATTCAGTACTGTCAATTCTATGCAGTAACATGAAAAGAAAAAGAGAAAAATCAGGTTGAAATACCAACTTGTTGAAATATAAACCTTAGATTTGTCAGTCAATCAACAAGAGTAGCTTTCATAGATCCCAACATAAAAAGAGAAGAAAAACAAACATGTTTTACATCACATGATTTCCTACTGCACCCTCTCTCTTAGTTTTAACAAGGCATAGAGTAAAACAACACCTAGATATGGAATTTTGATGGCTTCACACCAGATTACCAATTATTTTAAGGAATACTTCAGTTTTGATTTCTGGGTATACTACATTCTCTGCTTCAGTTCATCAAACTACCAAAAATCACTATATTCTCCATTAAAAAAAATTTACACTCCTTAAGAACTGCATTGCTTGACATCAAAATCCTGCCCTTTTTTGGCTCCTTTCCTTGAAAAAAGTCTGGAAAGGCTTACAAGTATTTCTAGTGCCAAGTAGCAGCTGAACATATCAAGAATTTATTTACTTGGAATTTTCTCACTTTAGCAGCAAGTCAACAAATGATTCCTACAACAGAATTAGAAATTATGCTTTTGCAGGTTTAGTAAAGAACTAAAAAGTTCGAGAAAACAACAGGGCTTTGGCAAAGAGAAAAAGGAAGAGAGGAAAGGAAAAGGAAGGGAGGAAGGGAAGGGGGAAAAAGAAGGAAAGGAGAACATGGGAAGGGAGGGAAGAAATGCCATCGTTGTAACTTCAAACCAGAAGAAATATGATCTGTAGGAAACATATGATAAATTAATTTCACTGAGAAACAACTGGCTAATAAGTTTTAGTGTGTTTTTTTTTCAACAGGGTAATA